TCCCAGCTCAGCGCCTATTGTGGACTTGCCACGTCCCAGCTCAGCGCCTATCGTGGACTTGCCTCTTCCCAGCTCAGCGTTCGATTGACCTGGGCTGCTCTACTCTCCAACTCTTGAAAACCAAAGTCGGGGAAACGGAGGTTCGCTGGGACAAAAGTTGAACAAAGCTCCAGGCCCAATCAAACTGCTTGGCGGGTTTCTCCACACAGAAGCTACTCACCTGCCTGCTTCTGGGATGGTCTTCGGAATGAAAAATTAAAGAAGCACAAACATGACATGGACATAGCTGAAACATGCTGAAACAAAATCCCAGCGACCTCTTCCAAGCTCATCGCCTACTCTGGACTTGCCTCTTCCCAAGTCGTTTCCCAGCGCTTTCGTCTCTCCTTGGCTGCTTGAACTAGCTATCTGATGCGAATGGCAAAGAATGGATAGGCATCACACGAGCTCGGATTGAAAAGCACTACGGCCTTTTCGAAGAAGGCATCTTTAACACATGACTTTGCCCAAACAACTTGGACCATAGCCTCTTTGTCAGGGTCCAACCTTTCGGCAAAAGAATAGTGTTTGCCTTTAATACGGTGTTGGTGCAAGTTCTCCTTCAACAAGGCCCACATGAAAAAGCGTTGCACGGCTGTTGGCGCCCAGGGACCTCCCCCCAGCTCAGCGCCCATCGTGGACTTGCCACGTGCCAGTTCGCCCACAGTGGATCGGCCTCTTCCAAACTCGGCTTTCGATTGACCTGGCGCTTTCAGGGTCTGTGCGGTGGGAAGTTGGGATGCCAGGGCTGTGCTTCCAGGGGCCGTACCAGCCTCCACAGCCTCGGTACCAACGGATTCGCCCACCAAACCCTTCGGATTAGCCCACCTCGGTCCAGACCCCCGCTCCAGCCAGACGCGTCAGAACTGACGGCCGCGGTCGGCACCGACGCTGTCACCTTGTTACTCCTTCCAGGGTCCCATGCCAGTCTGACTGCAGAAGAAGACTGCAGATTCTGAAGCTTTCCAATGCTGAAACCTGCTCGGCTTGAATCACCTGCTTGGCTCGAAGGGTGGCTGGCTGAAGTTGACCCCCCCAACATTCACATCGCACCTCGTGCGGGCTTCTGCAATGCAAATGGAATACAAGATGCTAAACTGCACCATGCATGCGCCCAGACTCGGGAAATATCATATACGCAAAGACATGCCCCACCATATCATCCATATGGCTGCAAAAATGCAAAAACTGGATCAGCACCCGGAACCTCCTAATGATTAATACCCCCCAATTGAATTGAAACACCGCTTCATAGTACAATCAAGAGTCTACATTATGGTTGAAACCACCCGATGGCCCGATCCCTATATGATACGTGGTGCTACGAAGGGGTGCTAAAACATCTTCCAGCTTCGCTTCCTTCCCCCACTCCGCTTCCTTCGCCGGCGCCTGCTCCATCGGGGCCGCTGGGCGTTTCCATCCGGGGCGGGGCGCTGGGCTCCGGCCGCTCCTGACCGCGGCACGTTCGCTCGCATAGAAACTGGTAGACGGACCACTGTAGACCAGAAGCGAAGCTACGCTGGGCCATACAAAGCCCAACACGATTGCCCTTGAGGGTGGCGACGATTCTCAAACAACCAAGTGCTAGTTTGGGGATGCCAGGTGGATGTTCGACCCTCCAAGTGGATGTTCGACCCTCCAGTGGCTTGGGGATGCTTATAATGCTTATATTTGCTTCAACTTCAATGTACAGAAAGGAGCCGGCCTTTGGCTGAAAGAGGTTCATGGCGATCTTCTCCTTAGTGGGCGCGGTGGACGCTGGACGCGCCAAACGCAAAACGCCAAGAACCTGTGCGCGGAGCGAACTGCGCCGAGTCCGCAAACGAGCACCAACTGACAGAGCCTTGCTGAATGTCTGAATGTCTCTAAATTGGTGTGAGTGCATGCCCCCCAGCAAACCCATGTTCAGCTGGATTATATAAATGGTCGTCCTTTAGGCGCGTCACACGCGTAGCCTAGCCTTTTTAAAGACCCACAGTTCAGTCTCACCCCCAGCCGCTCCTGGAGCGCATGGAACCTCCAAGCCACTCTCACTCGGGTGGGGTACTTCAGCCTCCAACCATGCTAAGCAGGTCTCAAAGTCTCAGATCATTCTCCAGCCGGCGCCCATCCAACCAACTGAGCCAGCGCCCACGTCCCAAAGATGCGTCTTCTGCGCCCAAGGTGCTTGGGGTGCGGCCGCTTTCGTGAGCAGCTCCTCCAGGTCCTCGCGGCCCCCGCTCCGAAACGTCGGAGACGGAGCGCGACAGGACTCCGATGCTGACAGGGGGGAGATCCTAACAAGCCAACCAGCCACAGGGCCCAAGCAGCAGATGCTCGCCATGTGGCGGTACCACGTGGGTGTGAGGGTTATGGTGGCATGCCACGTCCCTTGGGGGTAAGGGTCAAGAAACACAACTGACGTGGCAGCGTTTACCCTCTTGAGAAGTACTTCAACTTCGTCCGTCCCTTCGGGGCTTCATCATCTCCACATCACCAGCCCCCATGAATTCAACAAGCGGCCAAAACCTGGCATCGGTTGATTGAACAGCGGCCCAGGGTTGAACTCTCTCTCGCTCTCCAATTCCGTCCCCAAAAAAGGAGCCACGGTCAGTAGGACCGGACGGAGGATTTGAACGCTTTTGGTCACCAAGCCTCCTCATCCTCTGGCACGGCTCAGGGGATACCTCCACCGGACCCCCCGCAGCTCGTCGCGGGTCATCCGCACCTCTTCGCCGTCCGAGGCGTCCTCCGCGTCGCCTGGCTCCGGGCTCCAGCACTTTAGTGCAATGCTTTTTGAGCAGAAGAAAACGAATCCAGCTGCCAGTTTGAGGAAAAGTGTCTTGCAGCAAAATGTTGGAGAAGGTTTTGAGAGCTTGATCTTCAACATTGAAATTACTATTGATCATTTATAGTCTACAATATGATTTAAGATATGTTACAGTAAGCAAATAGTATGTATATATATATATAGGTATATTGCGCTGTATTTGGCAAACTATACGCCTATACGCGCATTCACCCATGGACTCGCCCCTCACCGCCTTGGCCCGCCAGCGCACGCAGCCGCCGCTGCTGCGTGGTGAGCGCGCGGAGCTCCTGGGCCCTGGGCTCTTGGTCCGTGCGCACACGTGCGCCGGGGTGGAGAGGCGTACAGACCATGCGCGAGCCTAGGGCCTAGAGGCCTCGGGGACTAGGGCGAGACTAAGACTTTCCTTTAACCTGCAGAACCAACAGGGTTTGAACCAACGGCATAGATGAGAGGGGCCATGTGCTGGAATGGAATCCCACTTCGCTGGGCAGGTCAAAACCTCCAAAATCCTGTGATTTTTTGATTGTTATATTTATCTTATTGTGACCTATTTTGACATCCTACTGGGCACTGGTGACCGGTGGATGTCTATGTTTCGAGCAACCCGCCCTCATCTAACCTTATGATGTACCTTACAGCCTAACTCTGAAATCGCAAGGATTCATAAAAAAGCAAAAAAAAATGCAAAACCACACTCACAAAGGATGACCAGGAAATGCAAAAAATATGAATAAAAAAATCCAAAGAAAAGCAGCTGGTCAAAAAGAGTGCATATCAAAAAGCAAAAAAAATGCAAAAGGAAGCCAGAAAAAAAAAGCATAAAAAAAAGCAGAACAGCAGTTCAAAAAAAGCAAAAAAACATGCAAAAAAATGCACATGCACAACCAAATTTCACACACCACCTTTTTTGTGCGATTTTTTTGCATTTGTTTTTGCATTTGTTGTGCGATTGTGTGTCATTTTTTGCATTTTTTTTGTGTTTTTTGTGCGTTTTTTGCGATTTTTGAAAACGCACAAAAAATGCAAAACAATCGCAAATACAAAGTGTAAAAAAAGTGCAAAGGCAAAGACCAGAACGTTTTTGATCGCATTCGTTTTGCTTTTTGATTGCATTTGTTTGCATTTGTTGTGCATTTTTGTTGCATTTTTTGTGCCTTTTTTGTGCTTTTTTTTGCATTTTTTGTGTGTTTTTTGCATTGGTATAGTGGACAAATGCGGTTTTTCACAATTGTTTTGCATTTTTTTGCATTCCAAGGCATCCTTTGGTGACTTGTTTTTGCGTTTTCTGTGCATTTTTTTCGGGATTGGTTTTGCATTACTTTTGCATTGTTTATGCATTTTTTTGCTGTGTCATCAGAACTAGCTTTAGCATGCTTTAGCGTACATCATAAATCTAACCCCTCTCACGCACCCCTACTGGGCTCTGGAGCCCGCAAGTCACGGTGCAAAGATGTCGTGGGTCCCTTCCCTGTGTAACCCTGCAGACGCCTACACAGAGCCCAAAGTGAAGTGTCCGGCTGCGGACGCCTACACCCACACCGTCCATCTCTTAAAGGTCCGTAAGGTGATGGGTTTCCCGCAAATCCACACGCCTCACGAATGCCCAGAGCCTTTGCCGGCCCAAGACTGGTACGAGTAGGCGAATTGCCTAATGTACAAAGCTTTGTGTATGCCCGCTGTGGCGGTTTCCTCCATCAAAAGCCTTCTCATGCCGTGGCCCCTCAGCATGTTTCTGGTTCCCCTTTGCCAACCCACTCCCTCCGCGTTCCAGAACCGAAGCGGGGGTCGTCAAACACCATGGAGAGTTGCCACATTTTGTCAGGTCAGGAGCACGTCCCACATCCTTTTCTCGGGGACAAGGACGGCCATGGCCCTGGCCACTTCTGGGTTTATACTCTCTGGACTGATTTATTCTTACTTGGATGGCATGACCTTGGAGGACCATCAACAGGTGAACTCCACCAGTGGCGAGTGCCAAGCATCCGCTCTTTCCGCAGCGCCTCCTGGTCCAGCTCCAGAGTCTCGGCATCGCCGTGGAGCACATGGATGAAAACACCCCCAAACATCACCGGAGACCCACAAACCGTGAACCCTGACAACATCCAAAAAAGAACCAGAGATTGGGGCTGGCTTGAAGACTCTCGCTGCTCGGCCTTGAAAGCAAAGGACCGACGCAATTCCTGGTCTCCACCTCAAACCCCGCCGATCCAAAAGCAGTTTCAGCCGCGCTTGTGAAGCCTCGCGACCTGAAAACCGAAGCACCGAGCTCATGAAGGTTAAGCATGTTCCACCAGTTCTTCTCCCTCTCTCCACCTGTTCCTGTTTGCTGGAGAAACCCGCCCCATTGACCGAAAAAGATGTTGGAGGTGATGCACTGACTGCGTGGCCAGTGCAAGCCGTCCGCCGAACCAAACCGGAAGCGACTTCAGGCAACAGAGGTCGGTGGTGCACGCCTCCCAGTCGGCCACCTTCGCCTGCTTCAACTCCTTCCGCTGGGACATCCAGACCTCTACATCATCGTCCTCCACCAACTCACTGCCCTTGTCACGGAGCTTTGGGATGGGGCAAGGCACTGGAGCACATGGCAATTCAATGCAGCATCCGGTTCATCAACTTCAAAACTTCTGGCACCTCTCAACCTAGGGAAACCTATGGCGAACTCAGCTCTATCAACCTTTAATGTCTGGTACTTCCATGAACCACACAGTAGAACATAGTAAAACTGCCTGCCCAAATGGAACCGGGTGGCTTATCATCCTTCAGTCATATCCAAAGCACTGCTGCCAATTTAGGTAGACCTCCAAGTAACCCCCAGGTGTGGCTGCACATCCTTGAACTTATAGATTCTTCAAATTACCCTAGGCCCTAGGCCCTAGAAGTCACTGGAAAACCTCAGCAGAGCACAGTCACAGGGGCAAGCATCCCGATGTTCCACCAGCTGTCTGCACCGAAGTGACTTTGCATGGCACATGGTTCCATGTTCATTTCACAGACCGGACTCGACCAATGACCCATGATCTCTGCTTGGGAATTGCGAGGTAATGGTGGGGTCAGGTTTGGTACCATATGCCATCATCTACCTATTAGCATCCTAATGTCACACCCGGGCAGAGACCTTTTCCAGTCCATCACCGGCTCTCACCGCGCGCGTCCGGGCGACCCTCGCGTCGGCGCCTGGAGGAGCGCGGCCTTGCGCTGCGCCCGCTTGAGCTCCTCCGCGTCCATGGGCTGCCCCTCCTGCGACGCACGAGGGCCACCGGAGGCGGAACGTTCCGAAGGCAAGCAGCTGCGCGGCGCAAGCCGGGACGGCGCTGGGTCGGCAAGGCATCACGAAAGCCTTTTTGAAAGGAGTTTAGCACTGGCCCTCCCCATGCACCCCATCTTCAGAACCCTTCCACCCCGTTCCACCCGCCTCAAGGCCTGCCATGGCGTTGCGCCGGAGCCGCGCGCCCTCCTTGAAGAGGGCGGGTGCCTCGTCCAGCCTGGACTCCGCAGAGCCCGGAGGCAAAAGGTTGAAGCCCGGGCCAGCTGGGCCAGCTGGGTCACTCCCTGGAACTAACATGGAAGTGGAACAATGGCCCCCCTGGATCGACTCATCATTTTCTCTACAAAACAGGGAGTGAACTCCACTTCCATGTGAGTTCCATGCAGGGTATTCCTTTGATCGAAGCATGTCATAGCATATCTCTATAGTGCTCCTGCAAAGCAACTTGCCTGGAAACTAACCAGTGCATAACACAGCAAAAAACACTGCCAAAGGTGGACCACTTCTCCGACTTCGTTGATGCATAGAGAACCACATCAGGTTCCAGTGGAGGGCATTGACGAATCACGCAATACCAGCTCATGTCAACCAGCTGACTGATTGGTCGCTCGCAAATGACCTGCAAGATCCTGCAAGATGGATCCCCTGAAAGGTGAACAAAACCACCAAAAGCTGGCAGGCGGCTCGATCAGCTTGTACCTTTTGACCCTCCCACCCACCCTAGGCCCCACCAGTTAAGGTGGCCAAATGGCCTCTGAATGGGCTTAGCGGCGGTCAAATTCATGCACATAAGTCACATAAGGGCCATAAGGAGTCCAGGGTTTCGTATGAGCACCACTCACTTGCCTCCTCGACGTACCCATGTCCCACCCATGTCCCATGATGTCCCATCCATCCCGATCAGCATTTCTTCACTGGCACCCGGACTGTGGTGGTACCGTCACGCGGCCATCGTCGAACTTGGAGGGTGTCGTCACCGGCAGGTCCTCTTCCTCGTCCGACTCCTCCCAAGCGGCGCGAGAAGGGCAGATCGACTCTTCCACGCGCCCAACGCCCCACGCCCAACGCATCCGGAGGCTTTTCCGCTTTTGGACCCCCAGTGATTCTGACCACCTCGGCGTTGCACCGAGGATTCGGCAGCCAACGAACACCTCCGGGAGGCTTGTCCCCACTCCCGACACCCCCGGCCACCACCGGCGCACAAGATCGGACGGCTCCGTTGAGGGAACGGCACCCAGGTGGGGATCCAGTGAGAACCATCCGATGAAACCGGTGTTTTTTGGACTTACTCTTACATCTCTTACTCTGGCGATTCACAAAGTTGGTGGTGGTTGGTCGGAGCAGCCATGCGCAGCCCGTCTCTTGAGCAAACAGCGTCAACGGTCCCAATACTGTAACAACTTTTATTTAGCAGTGCTGCAGCAGTGTTCCACTCCTCTTCCTTCTCCTCCTGCTCCGAATCGGAATCCTGCGGCTCACGATTTAAGGTGCGAGGATGTTGGAGGAAAAATATTGGCTTCAGCAGACTCCGCCTGCAGCTGCTAGCTGCCGAAATGTGTGACCCGATATCATCATTCTCTCTGTGAAGAAGGGTTTGGGGCAGGCCAACTGCTGGCGTTTACCTTTACAACATCTGTTCTTGGACCGTCCTTCAACCAAAGTTGGCGGTTTTCGGTGTGGGAAAATCCACTCAGGGTCCCCACGTTTTGGTCGAACGGAGAAGGATGCCGCAGATCTGTCTGAAATACTGTCCTTGGTGCATTGCTTGGCTTTCGCGTGGACAGTCACAAGAGTGGCTTTAGAGCTTGCAACTTTGTATTTCATCTCCTACATTGGCTTCCCCACTTTGCTGGAGGGGCCTTTGCAGGAACTGCATGTACTAACCTCCCCCTCGAACGCCGACGCGAATCTTCTCCGCGGCCGCGGAGAACGGTCGTCCTTGCTCTCCAAGTCCTCGTCCTGGTGATGTGGTTTTCAGCTTAGGTGCTTGGGCTTAATGACCTGAACGTCCCAAAATGGTGCAAGGGAAAGTTTTTGCGGGAGAGGCGGTGAGACGTTCTTCTTGATTCATGCCAAGGTCTATTAGGGGATGATAGTAACTTGATCAAAGGGGAGAAGCCTGTCTTGGGCGTCCTGGCTATTTGGAACAAGTCCCCGCAACTAGAGCTGGAAGAAGAAACATGGAGAAGGGTCACTGCGAACAAGAAACCTGGCAGCAACAACTATTAAACTACTTGCGACACAACCAAACCGACGCGAACAGCACAAACAGCCCAGCATAGCCCAGCCCTCCAGCCCTCCTCCTCATCTCCGAGACCGCCCTCGCGCTGGGAGCTGGAGAAGCCCGGCAAGCCAAACGCTTCGATCATCTCCGGCTCAAAGCCCAACTCCAAAAGCACCTCAAGAGCCCCCACAGCCACTAACTACCCCCCTCGCTGGCAGTGAGCGGCATGGTTTGGGGCATCCCACTTCATCCCTCATCTCCCATGATGCTCCCACCTGCAATTTACACTCTAGACGTGTCCCATCTGCCCTTGAACCCCTCCGGGCCCCTCTCCCCTTTTCACCACTTCGATCTTCAAGAGTCTGATTCAGGGGCTTGCAGCGCAACTCCATCCACTGCAATGGTCTTAGACTCATAGGCCTGGCGCAACTCGTACTGAGATCTCTTGCCTTCGCCTGAACCTTGGATAGCTTTCGTCCTTGCTACTGCCGACTGCACACATAGCAGCATAGCATTCCAACGTCTGTCTTGCAAGCCCGCCCCTACAAAAGCACCCCCCCACGTAGAATGCAATCGATTTTGCACACTGGCTGGAGGCCCCTGTTGAAGCCACCGGTGCTTAGTCCTGCTTCGTAAGGAGCTGGATCCTGAGGAATCTACCCATTTACCCTACGAGTCGCACCCAGTCAAATTGAAAAAGATTAAACAAGCATACAGTATATCATCAATGATCATCAGCATAGACCCCAAACAGATCTTGAAGAAAGAACCCCAACGCACCGAACCGCCGACGCCACCGCGCCTCCTTCATCCGCCGGAAGCGCTCCATGGCCACCCGGCGCTGCTCCTGGCGCTCCTCACTAGGCGCTTCACGGCCGCCTCGATCAACGGCAATGACTCGGCTCGGCGTAGCGAGCCGAGGCGGCGGCTTTGGTGGGGATTGAATCGCAAGGCTGAGTGTTGCCATAGCATGTCATAGCAACATCTAGCAACTAGCAGCTGGCGGAAATGTCAAAGATGAGAGCTATGGCCTGGACTTGGGGGGCGTGGGTTTGGTGGTTTCAGATGGTTTCATGACAATGGTTGGATTGTTGGGTGGGCTGTGGTTCGGTAAGTTGTTTTCCATCATGAAGTGAGCTACAGGAGACTCTGCAGGAGACTCTGCGCTGATCTTGTCCTCCCAAACTCGGACGCCCCCGGCTGTTCAGCTGCTTGAAAGGTTCGGCTCACAGCTGTCACACAGAGTCAGTTCTCCGAAGTGTTTCGGCAAACAGAAGACAAAGATGTTCGTCCTCTTGGGGCCCTTGAAGTCAAGTCTTCCTCTGATCTCTTTCAAGAACGCCTGACGCCTGGCCAACGTTGGCGAAGACCCATCCCTTGCTGGATCCGGCCGTTTCCGCGCGTGCGCCGCGCGGACGCGTTCCCGCGCCAACGCGGTCGAGGGGCCGGGGGTCTTGGCCGAAGCCTCCAGGGTGGCCTGGACCTTGCGCATCTGATCCAGTTCTCTCTCACGCGCCTTCCTGAGCCCCGCAAGACAAGGCCACGCGGTACCGAACGGGACGAATCTTCGGGACCGAGGGTGGCCAGTTGGGATGGGTTGAGAGGTTGGAGGAAGTGGTAAGTAGAGGGGCACCTCTTTGATTGAAGGGTGAGGACTTGTGTGGGCCATCCAATTCTGATGCTAGCCTCTTGACAAGCACCTAGTCTCCTCCTCCTCCTCCTCCTCATCATCATCATCATCATCATCGGGCGTCGAGGCAGGGGATTACATCTTGGATTTTGAAATGCACCCTGACTCACATGGAAGTGGAACATGGTCCCTTGGAAGACTACTTTCCTTTGGGAACAGAGGGTGTTCCACTTCCATGTTAGCGAGTCCGACTGTATATTGGATGGTCGAGCCCACCTCGACCCTTCGGCTGCAAGGAACCACGCCCCGAATCAGGTCCACAGATCTGCAGATGACCAGCTCGGGCATGTCATGTCAGGCAAGTTGAAGGCTTTAGTGCAGACCCATGTTTAAAGTAAAAGACATTTGGCTTGTAAAACCTCTTCGTCTGGGCGGTTTTGTTATCAAGGGTCTCTACATTCGGTCGAAATGGAGTGACGGCGACTCCTTCACTTCTACGAGCAGTAGTCACGTCACACAAACAAGGGGGAGGCCAGAAACATGGAGAAACAACTGCATGGACATGGATTTAAGCAAAGAAACCACTCCGTTCGCCACCTCGTTCCCACTCCGTTCGTGCTACATCCGTTGCTCCATCCGTTGCACTGAGCATCTGCTCCCGGTGCTGCACCTTGTGCCACTGGCCCCACTCATCGGTCGTCATGGCGCCCGCCTGCACGGAGGCCTCCAGCGCCTTCACCTGGAACGTCCAGGAACGTGCCCGGACCGTCGCTCGCAGCGTGCTGCTGAAGCGACGAGTAGCAATGCACGAAGTCGACAAGTAGCTTCTTGCTCCCGGACTTGACGAAGTAAACACCAATCACCAACCTGGAACCAGTGGTGGATTATGACACCATTCAGCTGGAACCTGGATTATGACTCATTTCACTCCATCTGGTAGTCATAATCCCTCACTGCCAGTTCGAGGTAAAATGAGTCGTGACTGGACTCTCAGGGGAAGAAGTGTGCGGGTGAGGGAAGCTTTATTTTGGAGAAGGGATACCATCGACCGAATGGTTTCACCATGGTGAAACACCATGCTTTCACCTGCATCCTTGGCAGTGGAAAACCACGGAATGAAACCAGAAAAGGGGTCGCGGACGGTCGAGGCTGAGGTCGACCAGCTTGATTGAGCTTGCCTCCTGTTGACATCGAACCAAGTTTCGCCGAGGGAACGAAGGCCCTTCCTAGTTCAAGGAGAGCGGACTGCTAGCTATTGTGCAACTCAGCCGTTGCCTCCAACCTGTCGCCGCAGGATATCAAAAAAAC